TGTGGGGTTTGGGATTTGGGGTTCAGGGTTTGAAGCCTTGGGCTTTGGGTTCAGTGGCAGGATTTGCGGCTGAGGCATTTAGGGTGGGGGGGTTTAGGCCTTGAGGCTTGGAGTATGTGCGCTGGGGTCTGGGATTTGATTTAGCTTGGGGTGGGCTGTTGTAGGCCCAACTTCTTTCGGGTGTCTAAAGGCGCGTTGAGGGACTCCGGGGTCAGGATAGCATTTACAACTTAACCATATGCCATGGTACCTTATTCGTATTGTGTCTACACCCTAAAAAACCCATATCCTACCTGCGACTACCTAGGTGTCTCTTTGCGGTCAGCTTTGGGTTAACTGTTTAGAGTTTGCCGGCTTGCGGCGCGCATAGGAGCTTAACTAGAAGCCTTAGCCACTGTATAATCCCGGTTTCCATTTCAGTCTCCATGTTTTTTTTCATGTGCTTCTCCACTATACCCGTCGCATATTGTCCCCTATGCAGGACCAACGTGTTTTTTTTGCTCCTCTACAGTTGCTGATAACAAAACTTGTAGTGGAGGGATGAGATTGGGGTTTCCCAAAAGTAGGGATCGTTTAGCGCCCATAATATGGAGTATCTAATAGTGGGGTCTCCCTATTCATGGAAGCTACCAAATGCGGTCTGATCTCAAGTTTATCTTCCATTCCGGTCTGTGGCAAGCGGTGGCTTCTCTGGCTTCACTTTCCGCATGTACCACATGCAGTTTTGCGGCCAACATGGTTATGCACTCTATGAATACCGTCCAGGTCCACAAGAGATGATGTCTATCACAAGAGATGGTGTCTATTCGCAATGGTGACACGGTGGCATGGCCAGGCGAAGTCCTAGTGCGCGACGCGCCGAACGACATGTACATCATCAGCAATGGTTCGACAACTACTACCAGCCCCATTGCCACACCACCTGCGCGAGTGAGTGACTGAAATACCGCATAGGGTTGCATGGGTTGCGGGGTCTATTAGCTAAGAGTTTCAGAGTTTAGGGTTTTAGGGTTTACAGTTTGAGGGCTTAGGATTTGAGGACTGTAGGTCAAAGGAATGCAAAGTGCTCCGACGCAATCCGTTGCACTTAACGTGTGAGTTCTATTGTCACGGGGGAAGTCTGCCAAGATGAAGTAAAGGCAATCCCTTGACTGATCAGTAAGACTGTCCGCCTATCATCCTTTTCAAGTTCAGTTTTTAAGGGTCCAAGTAGAATATACTATGTGAGGGTTTTAACCGCCCCTAGTAGGTATTGCTTATAGACTTAGATCCTCAGGGAGTATAAGACCCTCCAACTTCGTCAGTCGAGAAGCTACATTTAAAGTGTTCGGCAGGTTCTGTTCTTCTGCACGGTTGTAAAGTGTAGGGTTTGGGGTTTAGTTTTAGGGGTGTTAGGGTTCGGGCAGATTACGTACGCATAGAAGATATCCGCAAATTTGCTTCAGCTGAAGCTGAGTCTCTGAGGTTCATTTGCAGTGGCAAGAGTCTAGCCTAGGAGCCTGTGCTGCGGGCTCGTTCTTCAAGTGCAAGACAGCACATGAGCTACTGTCTAAACTCCTTAAAGGGGATTCTACAGGGGCATCATATATGGGAGTATTATGGGGCTTAATGAGGGGCACACTAGGAGTTTAGACTATGGCCCACATGAGAAGTTTCTGAAATCCGGATCCCATGTGTGCCCCCAGAGATGGCAGCTGCCAACTCATCCCGCTGCCTCAGAAAAGCACCTAATGTAGACCCTGATAGGGTTTAAGTTGGGGATATATATTGGGATAATGGAAAAGAAACTGGAAACTAGTGTATAGGGTTTAGGGTTTAGGTGTTAGGGTTCAATGTAGACCCCTAATGAATAAACCCCCTGCGTTTCAGAGCCCTAATATTAGGATCCCTAGTATAATCCCTATGAAGGACAGGGGGTCACTAATCAGGGGTCTACACTATGATTTTGGGAATGGCCACCCTTTCCAAAAGCACCTATGTTTGCATCCAGGGGACCCAAAAGCAAAACCCTGAGCGCTGTAAACCCAAACCCCAGGTCCTTTTCATCCTACTGTCCACCTTAAGTAGACAGAATTTGGCTTTGGTATATCATAAGAAGGTCCCCATATGCCCCATATTCTATCTACTTAAGGGGGACTATACAACATCAGCCTTGTTGATCAGCCCAATTCAACACATCAAGCCCCACGAGCCCGGAACCCGAAGGCGAATGAGCCCTAAACTGCCCTACCCCCCAAAGCCTGCGAAGATGAGCCCTCAACTTTCCTAAGCTGCACGAGCCTCAAACATCGAACCCCGAGCCAAATGAGCCCTGAACTAAACCCGAAACCCTCCACCAAGCCAAACGAGCCCTAAACCCAACGTCAATGAGGCCGAAACCAAAATCAAGTCCTATGTGCCCTATAAACCATGATAAGGGGTTTTTGGTAACCGCTTAGGGTTTAAATTGGGTTTAGGGTTTAGGAGTCTAGGGTGTTTAGGGCGTAAGGGGATTTTGCTAACCCTAAACCCCCAAAATAAGGACCGTGTGACCATCATCTGAGAGTCATAGGGTCCTGATTTGGGGAGATTGGGGTTAGCTACATCCTTGTATTACATAAGCCCCAGAGCCACACAAGTCAGAGTTTAGGTTCGTGTTTGGTGTTTAGTGTTCAGGGTTTTAGGGAACTCTGTGTTCTGATCCCAAAGACCCAATATTGGGCGTTGTCAGACTTGGGGTTGTTTTTCAAGGCTTGCCCTCCACATTAGGGTCATATTTCTCTAGGGAACCCCCCACAGCATCACGGCTTTGACAACCTATCATCCAGCCAGTGGCTTCAGTTATCCCAACCACTTTAATAAGGACCGTTTGCGTCCTAATATGCGGGGTCGGGGTTACTAAAGCCCGCTTATCACTTCCTATGAGCTACCGTTAAAACCGGCGTCATTAAGAGACCCTTTACAGTGGACGCAGGGGTCCCTCTTGTAGTTTACTGTAGTCCCTAATAGGAACTCATTCATTATCTGGAGAACAGGGACTGTAGCTCATATAAACCATTATATGTCTCCAGTTTCCATGTCATGTTCCACTGTCTTGTCCAATTGTTTTCCATTATGAGAGGAATATCCCTAAGCCCCAAATCCTAAAACCCTGAACCTTAAATCCATAAATCCTGAACCCTAAATCCTAGAACTCTAAATCCAAAAGCCCCAAACCCTAATCCCTAAAATCTTACACCCTAATTCCTAAAATCTGTCCTAAAATCTTGAACCCTATTATAAACCCTAAATCCTAAAACCCTAAATCCTAATCATGAACCCTAAATCCTAAGCCCTAAATCCCCCTTATGAGCCATTTTCTGAAGCAAGCGCCGAAATCAGGGTCTGGAAGATGAATGGGCTGCAGCGGACGAGTGCGCATGTCCATCACTGAGGACCCAGACCCCCTAGAGCCCTAAACCCTAAACCCTAGGGTTTAGGGTTTAGGGTCCAAAAAATGGAACCCTCCCAATATGAACCTATTACTACATGGAGGAAACTAGAGAGTTTTAGGGGGCTCTGTTTTTTGGATCCTTTGGGCGGTTTGAGGAATCAGGACGGGTTGAAGGTTTTGTGGTTGCCCATAAGGAACTTGATTTAACTTACTATATTGGGGAAACCCATATTAAGTACTTTATCTGTACCCATTGTGATAACTTAATTTAAGCTGGGTTGTAGGAGCTTTGGGGTGTGAGGTCTTCAGGCTGAGGGTTGTAGGAGTTTAGGGCTTAGAGGTTTAGAGGCGTAGAGGGCTCAGGGTTGAGGACAACCATGAGCAGGGTGGGGGGGTTCTCCGAGCCATCCCTAAACCCTAAACCCTAAACCCCCCCTAAGGTTCCCCTTTAGTTGTCTCGGGTGTAGGCTCCTTTAGGGTTTATAGGGGAAACCAACCCCACAGCTTGGCCTACTACCCCAAAACCTCACTCCAAACCCCCACCCCCCCCCGGACCCTAAGTTAATGTACGGGCCCAAAGACCATGATTGGGCTTCAGGTTATCATATACTATACTTATGTGGGCATTATCATGCGATAGTGTTTGTAGGGCTTCCACATGGGTAGGGTTTGGAGGGATTAGGTCGTGGCATGGGATTGAGGAGACATCAATGGCCTCCCGACGAGTAGTTGTACTTGTATGTTGATACTTGCCCACTCTTGGGGTTTTTCTAGTATAAGCATAGCAGAATCTCAATCTAGGGGACGTCGCACACTACTAAGCATGGAACGCTAAGCGGAAGCAAGAGGGACTTCAAAAAGAAGCGTGCGCATTTTCTGTGGAAAGTCATGACGCGTACGCACTGCCCACATGCAACACCCGAAGCCCTGTCACGATTACCCCCTTTCCCAGCTTTTGCCAAGTCCATTTGCCACTGGTACGTGGAGTTTCCAGGCCGTAAATCTTAAACACCTAAATCCCCAAAACCTACTGTAAGCCCCAAACGTCACACCCTAACCCTAACCCTAGGCACGGCCTTTGGAACGAGAAACCTCATCTGCTGCTGTAAGCCCAGGTCGTGGACGGAAGTCTCCGAAATGTATCGCTCTGTCGTTGATTGCCCGGAACTCTCAGAAGTCCTGACAATGGCTTAGATTTAGGCTGTAATGCAGACCCATGATTAATAAACCCCCTCCTTTTAAAGGGCCTTGATATTAGGATCCCTATTAGAATCCCTATTAATGGAAGCGGGTTTATTAATCAGGGGTCTACATTAGGGTTCAGGCTTGATTTTGTTGGGTGTCGGGACAGCCCCTCAAAGCCCCCTTTAGAACAAATCAGTAGTCTTCAGAAGCCCTTTTTGGGGGGGTTCCTATTAGTCTTGGGATGGGCATGTGTGCTCGCGCACAGGATCTCTTATGGGTAATGCAGTAATAATAACAATAGTCATAGTAATAATAGTAATAGACATAGTAATAATAACAGTAATAGTAATAATAGGTAATGTTTTGTTTGCAGCCATGCTGTTCGAGCGGTCAGCGTTCAACAATGTCGATTCTGCTTTTGGCAATCTGCCTTCAATACATTTGTCCGTCTGGAGCGTCCAAGCCTCTAATCAATGTCGTCTGGTTTAAGTGCACAGATCTGCGCACGCATGACCACGCCGCACTAAAAGCAGCACATTCAGACAAGTTGCCAGTCTTGCATCTCTACGTCTTTGATCCATTCTGGTATGAGGGCAAGACGCGTCTCTGCAGTTTCCCCAAAACTGGAGTTTTGAGGACTCGGTTTCAAATAGAGGCACTTGAAGATCTGGCAAGCAGGCTCCAGTTGAAAGGCCATCGACTCAATGTGCGTACGAACGTGTCCACGGCCGAGTGTTTCAGGGAGCTTTGCAAGGACTACGACATCAATGCAGTCTTCGCATTCCATGAGATTTGCAGCGAAGAGCTTCGAATTCAGCGGCAGGTTAAAGATGTGCTCCATGAAAATGGTGCCGGTTCACTGCAGCTGCACTGGGGGTATGAGCTGCTTCACCATGATGACCTGCCTTTTGATACAAAAGACCGAGGAGCATTCAAGGAGATTGAGATTTTTCTTGGGCGTGTGAAAGGCGGGAGCTTCTGTAAAAGCCCTAAACCCTCAACCTTTTGAAGCAAGACTGTGCAATCCTGAACGGTGCACCCCTATAATTTCGATGCTGCCCCCAACTCAGGAATAATAGGTGGGTTTGGGGTTTAGGGTTTAGGGTTTAGGGTACAAATTGAGATCTATTTGACTTATGGTGCGATGTTACCGGGTGTGGGCAGTACTCAGTTGGTAGCCCTTGTACTGTTCCACTGTCTACCCCGTGTGCCATTTTTGCAGAAGGCTCTCAACGCGGGTAATTAGTACGGTAAATGGGGGGGTACTGTAGCCCTGGGCAGGGAGTAAGACTGTATCTTCCTTTTGGTGATCATATGGCATTAGAAGGGGAAATTATTTTCCGTAAATAGGGGGGGGCCCGCACATAGACCCCGCATTTTTTGAATCCTTATTCTAGAGCCTCCTGAAAAAGGACACCTAAATTATGTAAATTCCCATATCACCCTACTTGGTTCAGCCGCCAAAGAGCCTAAACCCTCAATCCTAGACCCTCAACCCCGAATCCCTGGAACCGTAAACTCAAAACCCTATAGACTCTAAACTACAGGTGTTTCTCCAAGGCCATCTGCTTGGCAACAGCCTGACTTTGTAAAAGGTCCTGAGAAGGCGGTTCACTGGCAAAGAGCCTTTTGTTTGCAGCTTGGGATTCAGGGTTCAGGCTTTGGGGGGTTTAGGGTTTAGGATTGGGTTTTAGCTTGAGTTTTAGGTGAGAGGTTGAATATTTCTGATATTAACTTTTTGTTTGAAAAGGGAGTAGGGTTTAGGGTTTAGGGTTTCTGTTGGACAACTCTTTGGGGGCGGCTGAACGTACAAGCCAGGCACGCAAGAACATTCCGCGGGCAGAAGAGGTCCTGGGGAACAATTATGTGCCAGCAGAAGACCTGTTACTAGGTTGCTGTTAAGGAACTTAAGTTAAGTTACCAGAATGGGAAGTTACCATAATGGGTATATGTAGTACCTACTATGGTCTTCCCAATATAGCAACTTAGATGAAATTCCTTAAGCCCCTATATTCCCCTAGTTTCCATTTCATTTTCCATGTTCTTTTCCATTTGGCTGTTTTGATTCTCGATTATAGGGGGATAATATAGCCCTAAACCCTAAACCCTAAATCCTAAACCCCAATATATTTCCGTAACAGCAACCCAGGTTAGAGAGCATGAACGCACTTCCAGAGTTCCGTTGGCAAGGAGGGGAGACTGCTGCGCTTGCGAGGATGCAGGAGTATCTTGCTTGAGGGTTTCGGGTGTAGGAGTTTAGGGTTTAGGATTTAGGGGCTTAGGGTTTAGGAGTCTAGGGCTTAGGGTTGAGGAGTTTAGAGTTTAGGAGTTTGAGGTTTAGGGTTTAGGAGTTTAGGGCTTAGGGTTGAGGAGTTTAGAGTTTAGGAGTTTGAGGTTTAGGGTTTAGGAGTGTAGGGTTTAGGAGTTTAGGAGTCTAGGGTTTAGGAGTTTAGGGTTTAGGAGCTTAAGGTTTAGAAGTTCAGGGTTAAGGAGTTGAGGGTTTAGGGGTTTTGAGGGGGAGTGGAGAAGTAGATCCCCATAACTAGCCCCGAATAATTGACAAATTTAGTCGGAGGATCATTGGATTTAGCAACTACTCATAAGGCATGTAATATAATCCCCCCTAACTGCACTTATGGAGGTTACCCCAATTATAAGTAGGGTTATAAGGCCCCTTTAAGTAGGTACTTAGTCCCACGAGCCTCCAAGCTAAGCCCAAAACCCTAAATAAACCGCAAAACCCTAAACCCTGAACAAGCCCCAAACCTTGAACCCTAAATACTGGGTTGCTGTTAAGGAACGTAAATTAAGTTACCATACTGGCTACATGGAGTAATGAATACGGTTTCCCCAGTATACTAGCTTGAATTAAGTTCCTTGACAGCAATCCAGAATAAGGTACTTATGGGAAAAAGACCGACTGGCTCTTGACTATGTTGGCGCAACATCGGTGAGAAGCTTGTACAGAAGCTGGGTGGATGTGGAAAATATTTGTAGATACTATAGTCCTGCAAAAGGCCTCTCAAGACCCGAGGGTCCAGCCCTGACCCCAAACCCTAAACCAAAACATCGGGCACACTCTGAGCTTTTGCAGATAGACCCCCAAAGGGATCTAGAAACTAAACCCTCTAGAACCACATGGGAAATCATGTGTGCATGATGCAGGGATTGTTCTGGGTTTATCTAGAGGACCTCGTTTTGTTGATTCTCCCGGGGTGTGGGTATGCACAAGAGTTTCCATAAACGGGGGTCCCCTTAGGAAAGCCCGAATACGATACTCCTTGATGTGCGGAGCTCTAGCTTTGGAAAGTGCTCTATAATGAGGCAGTTTTGCCTCTGTGCCGTGTAAGGGGGCCATAAACCTTTATGGGCCTACACTTACCTCTGGGAAGCAAGGACGGAAGGAATGAATGCTTCTGTCACTTCCCTCTATTACCCCCAATACTACCGTAGCTTCGGTGTTTCCATTCCCTGCTAAACATAGGTAATTAAAAACCTAAACCCGTAAACCCTAAACCCCCCACCCTTACACCCTAAACCCCTAAACCCTTAGACCTGTCAACCCTAAACCCCTGACCCTTAAAACCTTAAACCCTTAAGCCCTAAAACCCTAAGCCCTCAAACCCTTAAACCCCTAAACCCCTTAACCTTTAAACCCTAAGCCCTTAACCCCTTAAACCCCTAAACCCGTCTACCCGAAGCCCTTAAACCCTTAAACCCTTCACTCCTCAGCATCCGTCAGGAAGCCCTTTGGAGGACGAAGCAACGTCAAAGTTATCCCCGTGGCTTGCTCATGGCTGCTTGTCTCCCAGATTACTCTACGAGGAGATCCGGGTTTTGAGGGCTTACGGTTGAGGGTTTAGGGTTTACCTAGACCCCCCAAGTACCCTCTGTAGACCCTTAGCATCACCAAATAGAAGCTACATAGACCCTATTTTAGGGTACTTGGGGGGTCTAGGTAGGGTTGAGGGATTAGGGTATGGAGTTTAGGCTGCTTGCCTCCAAGACTATTCTACGAGGAGATCAGGCGTTACATCTTGGCCTATCAACAGAAAGCGAATTCCTCGGCCAGAGGGACGCAAGCATATACACATTCGGGCATCGGGATCCGAAATCCGTATAATGTTTCGCACCGAATCGTCCGCGAGCTCCTCTGGCGCGATTCTGGGTTGCTGTTAAAGAACTTAAATTAAGTTACTATATTGGGGAAACCCCTAATATTTACTATATATACCCATTATATCCCATTATGGTAACTTTATTTAAGTTCTTTAACAGCAACCCAGGATTTTGTCCGCTTTGGGAGCATTGAAGCTGGGACCAGCATCTTCAAGGTTGCTGGTCTTTGGTTAGCTGGGAATGAAGGAATGGAAAAGAAATTTG